CTCATCTCATCAGGTCCAAGAAGTTGTATAGACTCCCGTTAAGGCCCATAACTATTAGCTCACCTTTTTTGTCAGAATGAGGTAGCACCACTGCTGACTGGGATGCGCTAGCAATGAGTGAGGCGAGTCTCTGGAGGCTACGCATAGATCAAAACTTGCAAAACTCCATTAATGGTGCGAGTTCAGTTGTTACGACGGTGCATTCTTCTTTTCTGTTCATTTTGGGATTCCGGGCTAGAATTCAGCACGCTTCGGGCGTCTTTCGCCCTGACACCTCGGTTTCCCGTGACAGAATATTGACCGAAATATCGAATTCTGTGTCCTGGTAGCATAGCTCGCGATGCGTGGCCAAGGGGATTGATAGCCTTGATCTTCGCCACCCGTCTATGTGTTCACTGATCCTAACACATAAAGACCTTCCCGTCTCTCCCACATATTTCTCCCCATATAGCTTACAAGTAATGAGATAAATCGTACCAGAACGCATGCAATCCCCGTCACTATTTGTTGCGCAAATTACGCAATCAGGAAACGCTACATGCTTGGTTATATGCCCTGTTGCGCACTAGACGTTGCTTAAGATTAGCAGGAGGAATCTCAACGACTCTGATTGAGACTTGCAATCCCGATTTTCGTACGCAGGCCCTGATAACTTTATTGAACTCATCTGAAATGAAGGGGAGGCACATGCTATCTTACTACCATCCTGGTCACGTACTCTGTTGATGTGGCTTCCTCGCGCCCTCTTGAGTGGGTACCCGTTAGCCTGCGCTACCTGGAGTGCTCTATTAATAGAAGCAACTTTGAGGTCATGTCCGACGGCACCGCCCTAGCTGTGCGAAGCGTGTTACCGACGAAGCTGCGTTTGGTGCTCATAGAGTGCGCTGAGGAGTAATGCACGAAAATGTTCTTACTGTTTGGCTTCCTGTACCACCTGGTTCTACACTCCCCTCTCCTCAAGCAGATCTGAATGTTGAGGAATGGTGTTGAGCCAACCCTCTTCCGGCGCTTCCCTGGTAAATCGGATGTCAGCTGATTGCTTGTTGAGTAGGCCAAAGCATGTGTCCACTTCCGTTTGAGTTGGACAGACAATGATGCAGTCATCAATGTACCGGTAGTAAAGAGTAGGGCTGCGGTCAAGTACTGGCTTTTTCACTCTAGACATGAAGCATACAACTATCGCAGGAGCCAAACGCTGCCCCATAGCAAGTCCTTTGATCTGTTTGAAGTATTGCCTCGACCAGCGAAAAATCGAACAGTCTAGACACCTTGCAACAGCATCATGACCTGTTGGATAGTAAATCCATACAAGCCGATGTTATTGATCTTTTCATTAAGCAATTTGAACACAGCCTGTAGTGCAGCTGAATTAGATACGTTTGTATAGAGAGAAGTAACATCGAAGGATTCTATGACTTTGCTTCCACTAAATCGCATCCTTCGCAGATGCCATAACAAGGCGCTGGTATTGGGCAGATGCGCAGGGATAAATTGCAGCATTTGAGTGAGAGTGAGATTAACCAACCACGAAATCCTATGCGCTGGGCCGCCGACCAAGCATGTAGCATTCCTGATTGCGTAATTTGCGCAACAAATAGTGACGGGGATTGCATGCGTTCTGGTACGGTTTATCTCATTATTAAGCTATGTGAGGAGGGATGTGTGGGAGAGACGGGAAGGCCTTTAAGTGTTAGGATCAGGGAACACATAGACGGGTTGCGAAGATCAAGGCTATCAACCCCCTTAGGCACGCATTGCAATCTATGCCAGCAGGACACAGAATTCGATATTTCGGTCAATATTCTGTCACGGGAAACCGAAGTGTCAGGGCGAAAGACGCCCGAAGCGTGCTGAATTCTAGCCCGGAATCCCAAAATGAACAGAAAAGAAGAATGCGTAGCCTCCAGAGACTCGCCTCACTCATTGCTAGCGCATCCCAGTCAGCAGTGGTTCTACCTCATTCTGACAAAAAAGGTGAGCTAATAGTTCTAGGCCTTAACGGAAGTCTATACAACTTCTTGAACCTGATGAGATGAGATATTTGGAAGGTTAATCCATAATGCTTCTCACTTTATAGGCTCTGATGAAGGCGACTAGGCCGAAACTTTAGCCGAATAAATGCTATGATAATCTTGGTGTTGGCTCAATCATAAAAGCAACTAATTACAGAGATCGATTCATGCTAGAATGCCAGGGGCACGCCGTCGGCATGCTTAGTCTTTACGTCACTGTTCATTAGCATGCCGCTGGTATGCCACTCGCATGCCAAAGGCATGTCGTCGGTATGCCGCCCGACATGTTGGTGCTAACGTAGCGCCGAAATATGAATTTTGCCCCAAACAAACAAAACTCTGTTTACAAATAAAACCAATCATATGACACCAAATTTGGTGTGAGCATGCGCCTTGGGGGTCCCGAACTATGTCCCCAAAATTTATAACTTATGCGAATGAAAGCTGTGCTGACGTTTTTTTTTGAATAAACTGGCACCGTGCCAGCTGGGTGCCATCTGAACTAGCACCGACCCTTTGTTCACATAAGTTTTCATACTTTTTTTACATAGATGGCATCTACACCGTAAAAGCTTACATTCTTTCCGGCGTCTTGTAGCGATCAAAAAAATTCCTCGGTCTGCTCCGCATTCGAAAAATCTGCTTCAATCAAAAAGTGCGCCCTAAGCAAATGCAAGATCAGAGGGACTACGAATTTTCAAAATCGAAGGTGACTTCGTTTTGAAATTTTGTGCCACCTCATGCTGAGCCCTGCACCGATAAGGAATGTGAGCATCCTCTCATTGCGAGCCTACCCGCTTTTTTCTCAACGCATGGTTCTTGTCGTGGGATGTAAATGAGCGCTATTGTTGTTTAACAGGGAGCGAAAGAAAGGATTGGTTAGTCTTTATTTCCATAAAAAATTGTATGAAATTAATAAATTGATAGAACGATTCAGCAATCTCCGTAAAAAAGTAGCCAATTTCTCCGGGTAGAAAACGTATATGTAAAAAGTTTCAGCTCCTTCAGCCTTGAAGGTTTCTCTAGCGCACTACTGAAATCAGTCAAAACAAAGCAGAGGTTGAGCTGATTTATATGTATATATAAAAGATTTTTGTATAAAAAGATCTCAAATGGCCATAAGATCAAGCTTTTAACAAGTTCCGGAGTCTGAAAGGGCTTATATTTCAAGTTTGGTTTTCGAGTACCTCGGCTCAAGGAAAAGAACGTTCGGAGTGTAAATAAGAGGGCAGCAATCAGCAGGAAATTTTTCGAAGGAATAGAACTATTTGTAATTTCGTCTTCAAACACGATTTATAATTTTGGTCGAGTGCAGGATATCGAATCCTAGTCAACACAAAAAACAACGTTTTGCTTTGGGGGATCTTCCAAGGCTTATACTGCTTCTACTGCTTCGTTGTTGAAATCTTCATCCTTCTACAAGTCTTCAGTACCTGTGGAGCGTTACAATAATCTTACCGATTGCACCTCCTTTTATTAGGTCGTAAAGAAAGTTCCCGGGCAAATGCGAACATTTTTTTCAAATCGCTGTAACTTCAAGCTGGTTTTTTTTGCAGTCAAAAACTTCATCGCAAGGACAATTCGTCTACAACATACATTCTTGCTGGCTTTCCAGCGACCCACTGCGGTCCACCAGCATGCGCAGAACGGAAAAAGGTTGTCGCGAAGAGTGGCCTATTTGTGCAGGATTATCTCAGGCACGATGAAAGCTGGAGAGCTTAAATGCTGTACTTACATAGAAGTCAGCTGGGACTGTTATGGAGACTATTTAAGCCTTTGAAAGCGACCACCATATGCAAAAACTTTTTCCAAAAAGTTTGAAAAATCGATCATTTTTTGCCCCTAAAGATACACCATTTTTCGAGTAAGTGACTCGAAGTCTTGTCGCTCTGCATAGGGTGGGCCAAATCTTTGATTACTGCAAAAGTTAGGGTAATACCTTCACATTGATCTGATAGAGAAATCTGTTAACTTCTGACCCGCAGCTGCACTCGAGACTTGCTATTTACGCTCAGAAATCACAAGCTGTCGAACTTGCCTCTGACTGCGACTCTCGTCGCAGCTTGGACCCATCATCCAGGCGTGGCGATTCCCGCAGCGTCGCTTTGTAGGGATCGCCACGCCTGGATGATGGGTCCAAGCTGCGACAAGAATCGCAGTCAGAGGCAAGTTCGACAGCTTGTAATTTCTGAGCGTGAATCGCAAAACTCGAGTGCAGCTGCGGGTCATAAGTTAACAGATTTCTCTATCAGATCATTTGTGATTTGGATATAATACTTTAAATCGCACAAAAAACGGCCGCCAGATCAGACACGTCTTGGCATCGATAAAAATAAGAAGCCATACTGAGAACTTTAGGCTTCCCTCTACAGTACAGTGTAAAAAACTTGCTGTCAAAGTCGACCGAGCGCCAAAAAAATCCTTTTGAAAATGAGATTTCCAAAAGTACTCGGAAACTTTCTTCGCAACCTGCTATCTCTCTCAGTTAGACATGTCGAAATGGCGCTTGCCATTAGAAGATATGCTAACTTTTTTTGAGAACCTCGTTCAGCAAACTGGTTGCAAAATTGAGGTAGTTTTGAATTGGTGATAAGCCATATATCTATTGCCATAAACGGCTTCGCAGAAGAGGGTTATTACAAGCCTAACACAATAAAGCAATCTGGCAGGCAAGGTTACAAAAAAGCAATTCAAGTATGATATTGAAGACAGCTTGTATGTAGGCTCTCTTATTCCTAGACGTATGATACCCTGTCCTTTTAGTATGATGTCAACTGGTGCACATACACTTACCTTGTTCTCAGTTGATCGTTTGTACCGCAAACTTGTAACAGTTTTTTGCAGATTTGTTTACGTTAACATTGGGAGACCAAAAGCTAAGGTACTAATGCATAATTCAAAAGCGCGGGCTAGCAAGTATATCGGCTGCATGGCATAACCTACTGCATGCATGACAACATGATTTTTATTCAAAGAGACATTACAAACTTCGATGTCCTCAATCTTCAGTCTTCTTTAGTCTTCGGTATTAATTATGCCCTGATCTGCAGCTTGCGATACAATTTTTTGCTTCTTCGAGCTTGTTTGTCCACTTCTGATAATCTTTATAGCACTTAGCTGTGCACTGAAAAGAATACGAGAATATGCCAATTTCTTCATCTTGTGATAAAGCTTAAAGGCAGTGGCTCGGCAAATCTCAACCTAGTCAAATTTGCCCTTACCTGGGGTTTTTCAATACGCTGATCCCGAAAATCCACTTTTGGAAGTTAGAAAACGGCGAAAATGAGCGTTTTTTAATGCCCTTCCCTTCGATATTGGACGAGTGGAGCAAGGCCCATGACGCTAAATCGTGACAGGACCCAATGGTTATAGCGTTGCGGCGGGCAGCCTCCAATGGTGAGAAGGAAATTGCCAACTCGTCCAGATGCGCGTAAGATTGGCCTGCGCGTGTAAGTTCGAGAGCGATTTTCTCGGCAGGGAAAGCATGCTGTGCAACCGGGATTGCACTGTTTTCATAGTTGGGCGATAAGGAACCTATCGCGTTAAAATCCCGAGTTGTTGGATTTTGCCGATCCACTGCCTTTAACGCTCGTACCTCAGCGAAGCTTCGCCTTGGCTCTTCACTTGTACTTCGACTACTAGGACTTCGACCACGGCCAGCAACAGTATTGAAACTTAGCAGAAGTATGAGGAAAGCGATTGGCCACATATGCAACGAAATCCTGAAAGAAAGCATGCTGTGCTCACAGAACTCATGAGTTAGCTCGCCTTGTATGGTGCTGACCAAAGCTATTTGTTTTTATGCATGTTAGAAAACTAATGTGTATATAAAATTCTCATTATTTTCTCTTTGCATCAGTTCAATTCATACAATAACATAGGTTCCACCAAGCTGGGGTCAAACAGCTCTACTCGGGGTCATATTGGGAGTGAGTGGATGGAGTCGATATCGTAATTAAGAGTAGGGGGCAGATTCTTTCGAAAGTATGAGAAAATACCATCGCGGAAACTTAAGAAATAAGCACTGGGCAGGTGATTGTTGTGCCCTTACCAGACCCACTTGAAAACAAGTGCCTGTAATGAAGACACACTTTGTGGGGGAGGGGTCGTTATCAAGGCGAGCTAATGTTAGGGATAACATGGTATTCGTTAACAATGTCAGATAAACACTGTGTAAAGTACTAGCACATTGATATTCTACCCCAACATCATAGAGGTACAGTCAGCGTAATAAAAGAGCACTATAAGCATAAGACCATCATCTTCTTATCTGAAAGTCAAATAGCCCCTGTGGGCCAAGTCTCTGCGAATCCTGAGATTTTCAAATAATGGGTTCGTTTTCGAACATATCAACCTTGTTTTAAAAGTGGGTTGACTACTTCTTTGTGCAAATAATACAAAGAACCACTACCTCTTTGCCCACATTAGGAATCCCACTTCGAAAAACATCCAAACTGTGGAATAATGTGCGAGCCAAAATCTCATTTGTTCCATTTTCCACTTTCAATTTCTCGGTTGGAAAGGACAAGTCAGGCTCAATTCACTTTTATGTAAGTTATGTTACTTAGTGCATCAAATATATTAGGCTGGAAACTGAGTTGCTTTCATAACTCAACTCTCTTTGGATAAGACGCACTCAGACTTTGATAGCAGGTAGAGCGGCACGTTGATTAAATTATCCCAAAACTATTTGAATTTTGAAAACGAATTAGAAAAGTTCCATGCATTTTTCGAAAATTAATGAATTTTGAGAATTTTCGGGGTTATAGACCAATTTGAAGGTGCTCGCAGCCTAGACCATGCGCACTAATCCGGAATCCAATTTGTTTCTAGAAGTTGACCCATTTGGCTCACTGAAAAATAAGTAAAATTTGGGGGCAAGTCGAGATTTGGCGCTTTCACAAATTCGAGCGAGTCGCCGTACACAAGGCTGCTGGGGACAACCATCCATGACTAAGGAGTCAAAAGCACAAAGTTCCCGAGCCTTTACATACGTTGGCCTGGCTAAACGCGAATATCATATTCATTTGTTGAATCAACGCTTCTATTCTTGTTTAGGGTGAAACCCTATATCGTACACCTGCAGTATTCTTACAAGAAAGCACTTACCACGCAACTTTAGTATCGTTTTGGTGATCAGCATGTCGGATAACCCCCCCCCCCCCTGTGCCAAGTTTCAGCCAAATCTGTCGAACTTTATAATCCTTTGTACTATTACCGTAACCGTCAGTACGACGTCGGAATTTTGTAAACAGTAGCTGCTTTTGTAGCCTACGTCATAACCAACACTGTGACAAAATTTGAGTGCGCCATGTTGAGTGAGGGGAAAGTTATTGAATGAGCTGCAAAATTTAGTTTCCAACCTAATATTTATCTTTAATCGCCTTTTTTCGCGATCTATATAACGCAAACTAAGCATGCTACCGTAACCCAATATTTTCGCAGCATTTCCATTTGTATAGGAAAGAAAAAACGACTATATCTTTCGCTAGAAGTGACGATTTCAAATGAATTTTGTACTATTAAAAAAGAAGACTGAGCAATAGCAACGATATAAAAAACGCAGGAATTTGAATGGTTCGAAAGTAAGTTAAAAGCTGTTGCCTGTACAGCTTCTTAGGGGTTATGCCGCACCCCTTTGGTTTACATGCAAAGAGGATTTTAGGAAACAAATTAGGTACATATCAATAGCAAAAATCTCGTAGTTTTTGTAAAAGTATTAGAGCTCAATTCGTCTTCTTTCCTTTGAGCAATAGTTGCTGGAAGCACAACTACTGCAAGCAAAAAACGGGACAAACGAGGTTTTGGCCGGCTCCTTATTCCATAGTTTAATGGTAATTTGAAGCAGGATTCATGGCATAGGCAAATAGGGAGTAGTGCTCTATACTGAGTACAAGAAGAGGTAGCTAATTCGCTTTTGAAATATAGATAGTCTTGTTTGCAAATGACCAATATACGGGGGCACAATATTGGGAAACCCCAAAATTCGCTAAAACTTGGCCCACAAGGATTATCTGACATGATCACAAATATATTACTAATTATTTCACGTAAAGTCGAGGCACTTAGGAGAGTGGGGAGGGGGAGGGTGGGGAGGGGGGGGGCGAATCGTATCCGGCATTGCGTGCCAAACCTCTTGCTCAACCCCGGTAATGAGCAACGCCATGCAAAGATTTGGCAAATTCAGAATTTTTTAGCGCCATCGTACACCTACCGTACCCTCAAAACGGAGGCTCTATCATCCAAATCGTGGGCTTTACAGGGTCAGCATAACGAACTTTTTATGCACTGTAAACGTAATTCTATCGCAGGCAAATAACTGTCATGAATGTGTTGCCAAAAGTGCGACCATCGCATTCTTCAAGGTGCTTTCATTTCTTGGATCAGTACAAAACGGGAACAGGGCAAAATAGTTAAAAACACTCAAAGGAGAATCTGCATGGCGCTAGTAAGTAAGGTAGAACTTAAAAATGTATCTGAGAGTCGATACGTTAGGCAAACCATTCAGAAGGTCAGGATGCCTGTCCTTGTGAAGGGTGATGATTAAGGTGGTGGTGCTCAGAGATAAACTCAGCCATTCCAAACAAGCTGTATACCATCAGACTCGCCTTGAGACGCTGATTCAAACATATGTTCAAATATATTGTTCAATATTATATTGTTCATCATACCAAACAGCTTCCAACTTCCCTGTAAACACTAGCGGTGGAAGTCATTTCCATTCCACTATCAGGTAGGGCGGTGAAAGCGGTATGGTTTAGGGAGTATCGGCCCTGCGTTACAGGAGTAAAAGAAAACGGAAGCAGATAAGTTGAGCCTTTTGTAGGAGCAACAAATTTGTTCTTTGTTGAGCCGCTCAAAAACACGGTGCGGTCAAAGCCGGGCATGATAGCTAGTAAACTTATATTTGAGATCAGCGTTTTAAGGCAAGTAGAATGATATACAGCATGTTTGGAATGGCTAAGTTAAGTTCTGATCATTTCCTATTAAGTCTTTTGAATAGTTCATTTTGATCTACATCTGGAGTGGTGTGTATCAATTTCTCGTTTGGTTAGGTATTTCCGAACAAGTCCGTAATCCAGTCAGACGAGCACCCACGTACATAATGCGGGAACGTGGGCGCCCGACCGTGCAATTGCCCGGTCAAGTAGAATCGGGTAGGTCTGCAAAGACTGGTCTTCTCTGCGATCTTGCTTGGCTATAATCTGTGTAAAATGCCTCATCTCTAAGATTAGATAGCCAAAAATGGTAGTAAATCGAACAGCTTTACTAATAAGTGAGCAAGAATTGAAATTTTTATGCAAGAAATTTGTCCGATTCGAAATTTTATATCATTCATTGTGATTGCAGAAATATCAGAGCCCGGCCTTTCCAATCCGGGCTCTGCACCCCTTGAACTCGTACCAAATCAAACTTCAAATCAAATAAATCTCTTGCATAAAAACAATTTTGTATCTTGCTACGTACTAAAGTCTCTGGCCACCCAATGATATAGGCCGCTATAACAATTTGTAGTCAGGCGAGGTTGGGCAGATTAACAGACGTTGCAGACCTACCCGATTCTGCCTGACCGGGTTCTTACACGGTCAGCCGCTTACGTTCGCGCCGCATGGACGTGAGCGCTGCCTGAATTACGACCTCTTCGGAAATGCTTATCCGAACGGGAGATTGATGCAGATTGATATATACGGCTCCCGGTATTGATATAGAGGTTTATTTGTTTGACTATATCGCAAAATTCCAAGTGAAATCAATCGAAATTCAATAGCTACGATTTTGATTCTTGAGTCAGCATATGTTGGATATTCGCTAGTGGAAACAAAGACAGAGACAAGATTAATAGTTCCTTTTTATGTAAGCCAGTACATGTGGAGATAGAACAACAAAGCAAGTGCTCCACTCAAATTCTCAGCTTTATGGTTAACAGCAGCTAATGCACTACTAGCTACCTTTAATGCATGCTAGGGACCTCTGAAACATCAAATGAGGCCGATAGAATAAAAATTAGCGCAGTGATAATTCTAAAAGCTTCAAATAAGTTTGAAAGTTATTTTATTGAGATTTCGAGATGCACAAGCATGTGCTAAGCAACGAAAGATCTACTAAACAGTTTTGAAGTATTATTTGTGTATGCACTGTTATATACTCTGATGAGCTTGAAACAGAAAAGAGTGTTTCTTGGCAAATGCAGAACGCTGAGGATTTTTGCAGTTTGGTGCTCTTTTCTATTAAACAATCTGTCGATGTAATGCCACTATGAGAAAATATTACAAACTTGCAAAAATTTATGCGTATAAATGTGAGGATGTGGCCACTATGGTAGCCAGCTCATTGCTCTGTAGAAAGAGTTGCGACCTGCACTCACAATTCTGTCAATCAGTGGATACCCGCTGGCCAACGACAATCTACATTGTACGCGTTTGATTGCTACTTTTTTACAAAGAAACACTACGCTCCCCTGTACAGAATCTCATTGATAGTATGGCTCATTCTACTTTTTGATAGCGAAAAATCGATAGGCCACTACTTTCTGTGACACTTCTGTTTATTTTTACTGTAGTCAGGCAAGCACAGAGGATGCGGAAGAACATGCTAATCTGGGGGATAAGATTCCAACACGATCCGAACGGAACCGACGCCTAGAGCACCGAGACCATATACCTAGAGCAAGACTAAACCGCAGTTGCTTAGAGCAATCTACTCCATTAG